AAAACCTTGCATCGTGGCACAATGATTCTGCAACGCTCACACCTCTAACGTCCAGCGAAGGGAAGGAACCGGTGCTGACTTGACTGGAGGGCGGAGCTAAACTTAGTTCAACGAGGTTGCTTGACCGAAGGGGCTCTCACTCCGACCCACGGCTCAACCTCCAACGCAAGCAGCAACGCACGCCTGGCTTTGCGACGCACCAGTGCCGCAGTCATATCCCACAGGTCGGTCGAGGGGTGGGGGACGTCACACACCAGTCCCAGGCTCACAGGGCCGCGAACCCCGCCCAGACGTCAGCAAGGCATTGCCCTGGCAGAGCAGCACATCAAATTCAGTGGTTGCAGACTGTATCTCGTCCTCTTTGTGGGTCGCCGCCCAGAGTAAAGAAACATCCAGGGCCCCGTGCAACCAGCGCCCTCGAGGCACGAACCCACAAGGCACTGTTTGGGCTCCGGCCAGCATGCCAGTCGGTAATCAAACTCCTGCAGTCGGTAACGTAGCAAATCAGCCCAGTCGAATCCTCCAGGGCGAGACAGGACGCCTGGATTGCAGCACGGGGAACTGTCTGCCTACGCCCAGAGAGGATCTGCGCGGCTCCACACCGAGGGATCCAGGCGCCAGGCGACGAGGGATCCTGGCACAATCGCCGAGCCGCATCTGCTTCTCCGTGGGTCCGCAGAGAACTCACCCCCAAAGCCGTCCCCAGATATGGAAATCGGGCGGCCTCCAGGGCCAGAGCAGAAATCAAACACCATGCCAGCCCCTAGAGGAACCTGCCTGCCAGCCTCCTCCTCCTCCTGAGGCCTGCCCTCCTCCCTCCTCCTCCTCCTCCTCCTCCTCCTCCTCCTCCTCCTCCTCCTCCCCTCCCTCCTCCTCCTCCTCCTCCTCCTCCTCCCCTCCTCAGGGGTCAGCCTGCCAGGTCACCACAAAGCCCGAGCCCTGGGGGGCACTCCCCGAAGCCACGGGCCAGGATGGGCCCCAGGTGCGTTGGAGTGTTGGAGGGGGTCGAAGAGAGGGAGAAAACAGTGCTTAGGGGAGGCAAGCTAGGTGTGCTCACACCAGGTCTGCCCATCCCAACCATCCCTTCCCATTAAGCTGAATTGTGTTATATCCGTTGGCCAGGGCGCCTAGATTCCATAGGTTCTTATATTGACCTCATTGTGTGATGCGCAATCCGAGCGGGTAGGGGGTGTCTATATGTGTTGAGGAGGAGGAGGAGGTGCCAGATGAGCAGAGTGACGAGCAGGAACAGAGCAGCACGATGAGGAAGGAGGAGGAACAGCAGCAGAAGCAGGAAGAGTAGGAGGAGGGGGGGGATGAGGGGGACCGTAACGATAATGCGGCCCGCGCCGGAGCGAGAGCGCAACATCATAATGACGGGAGCAAAGCGCCCGCCGATCCTGAAACGCGACCAATGTTCCAGCGAAAGCGGCCTTTGTTAGGATTGAAGGTTGTGCGATCTTGGAGGGGAATAGGGGAGGGAGGGAATATGAGGAAGAGGGCATAGGGAGCGTGGATTTGGGAGAGGCGGATGGACGATGAAGGACGAACATGGGTGATCGTGGCATTGATGATAATGAGGAGGAGGAGGAGGAGGAGGAGGAGAGCAGGAGAAGGATGGGGGGGGAATAGGAGGAGGGGGAGGGAGGAGGCGAAGGAGGAATGGCAGGATGGAGCAGGATGGAGGAGGAGGATTGGGGCGGAGAATTTCCGAGGGGGACGAGGCGGATGGACGTGGAGGAGGCGGAGGAAGACGATGTGGCGGGTCAGGGTAAGTATGAAAGGAAAGGAGGCGGAGCTGGAGAGGAGAGGGGAGGAGGCCGATGGGAATGGAGCGGTACGCAGGAGGAGGATAATCACGGGGAGGGTCATGAGGAGAAAGGTGAGGGGTAGGGGGCGAATGAGGAGGTAGAGGGCGCGATGAAGGAGGAGGAGAAGTCGGGGGAGGAGGGCGAGGGATACTGCGGATGATTATGAGATGCTGATGATGATGTTGATGAAGATGATGATGAGGAGGAGAAGTCGGGCAGGAGGATGAGGGATGATGATGATCATGAGGAGGAGGAGGAGGAAGAGCAGGAGGAGGAGGCTGAGGAGGAGGAGGGTGGGTGGAGACATACATGTGCATATATATATATAGGTCCATATAGATAGAGAGAGACAGTCAGAGATATGGAAAAACAAACAACGAGAGAGAGAGAGAGGATGGCGACGGGAGATCGCATGTGGGAGGAAGCCGCAGAAGATGAGGATCAGAAGAGACAGCAAGGGATTGGGGAGGAGAAGGAGGAGGGCAGCAGGGTGGATTCGAGCGGATTCGAGCGGCCTGATCTTCTCTATCGAATGCATGCCAATTGAGACGTTGAGAGGTTGCCAGCACCATCCTCCAGGCCTCCCCTGGGCGACAAGGGCTTCCACAAAACGCCCTGAAAGGCGTAGCGGAACTGTAGCTGAGATCGTCTGGTTCCAGCTATACACCCCCTCTTTTTTCGCGCACAAGCGCACCTTCGCATTGTAGCAGCACATGTGCCGCCCTTGCTTGCCCGCTCTGATCCCGGCACTGTAGCTGAGGTCTGCTCCCCGCCCTTCTCGCACTCGCTGGTGTCAGCGCTGTAGCTGCTGTCGGGCGCTAGCTGCGCCGTCCGCCTCTCGCGCAGCACGACAGGGATAGTTGGCCTCCCAGAGGTGTGGCTGATGCCGCCTGGCTGCGACTTCGTCTCCGCTGTCTCGCTGAGTAGCAAAGAGACTGCTGCCATTGTTCCACGTCTCGCCCACGCCGCTCCCAGCACTATTTTGCGAGCTATCGGGTTTTGTGAGATATCGGGCTCTGGCTTCGCCTTGCGCCCTTCCCGCACGTCCTGGCTTCCGCGCTGTAGTTGACACTTCGCCTTCCCGTACCTTACCTTCCTCATACCTCACCTCACCTTCCTCGGGCCCTAACCTCACCTCACCTTCCTCGGGCTCCTTTCGCATCCTCGGGCTCTAACCTCACCTTTCTCGTACCGACGAGGTGCGACCGAACCTGCTGGCAACCCCTGCTGCGACTTGCTACCTTCTCACACTGCCAGCGCGTGTTGCCACTGCCTGTATCCTCGCACGGGCTGACCCCAGCAGCGTTGTGGCTGATGCTGCTTGCTTCTCGCGCACCCTGATCCCAACTCTGTAGCTGACGACATCGGGCTCTATCATCTTCAATTTCTATATGGCTGAGTAGCGACAGAGTGTGGTGCCCTTGTTCGGCCTTCTCACACGCACGAACTGGCCCCAGTCCTGTAGCTGATGACGTTGGCCTGCGCGGCCTTGAATTTCTCACACGGTGCCCTCCTCGCCAGCCCTGATCCCAACGCTGTGGCTGATCACGGGCTTTCTCTTCGCCTTCCATCTCGTGCCGCCACTGCTTGGTCTTCTCACACGTTCGAACTGGCCCCAGCCCTGTAGCTGATGACTTTGGCCCGTGCGGGCCCGCCTTTCTCACACGGTCGGCCCCTAGCGGTGCAGCTGATGATGTCGGCCCAGGCGTCGATTCTCGCATCGGCAACATTGCTTGCCCTTCACTCCTTGACAGCGGTTGCTGCCATTGTCGATGGTTGCGCACGAGCTGACTCCATCGGTGTAGCTGATGGTGTTGGTGTTTGGCTCCTGCACCTGCTCCCGCGATGACAGAGGTTGCTGCCATTGTTCGTCTTTTTGGGGCAGTGGCAATAGCGGCAGCCACTGCGTCTGTTCTTGCACGATTGGATTCCGGCGTTGTAGTTAGTCACGTTGGGCTCCTGCAGGTTTGGGTCTTGCCCTGTTGCTTCGGCCCGGTGTCGACGGTCGCTACTGGTCGCCAGGGGGCGGAGAAGGGGGAGGAAGAAGAGAGCGATGATGGGACGGGCTGGCGGCCTCGCCCTCGCCGGATTTCGGCACTTTCGCATGTGATTTCGTGGCGGCCCTCGAGCGCGAGGCCATTCCGAAGTCAGCGCTCGAAACGCCCGCGCGCGCCGCGTGAAGGAGGGGCGGCGCTCGGACGCGAAATGGCTGGGCAGCAAGAGGGGGACGAAGAGGATGAGGAAGAAGAAAGGCAGCAGGAGGAAGATGGAGGAACATATGCAATCGATGGGGATGGCGGGAGGAAGACGCGAGAGTCGGGGGCAGCGGGATAGATACTCAGGGAGTTCTGGAGAGCTCTAGAAAGAGAATGGGAGGGACGGAGAGGGGGGAGAGAGAGCGGGAGAGAGACATAGAGAAAGAGGTAGTGAGAGAGATAGAGAGAAAACAAAAAAAGGCACGCACATCAAAAGGGGCAGATCGAGAGCGAGAGAGACAGAGAGAGAGAGAGAGACTGTGCGTGTTATCGAAGAGCGCCTTGGGCAATACATCTGCTTTTACACGGTTCTCAACGTCTCAGTTCTGTTGTGAAGTTTGGGCCTTCAATCGGCCTGATTTTGCCAAATATGCTCTTGGCAACGGTGGGATGTTGACAACGCGCTCCTTTGAGCGACTGCAGCGCTGAAGGCGCGCAGTATGTGGTCGGTTGTCGGCGGGGGTGAGGGCTAGGACCTTCCCCCCTCTTTCCTTCGGCGCAGGGAGTGTGAGCCGGACCAGACACTTGGCGTTTACTAAACGGCCCTGGGCGGTTACTGAACATCGCTGCCTTGTTCGATTCCTTCTTTGGGAGCGTTTACTGAACGACTTCGCGCGTCGGGGTGGTTCTTATGGGGGTGGATTTTTGACCTCTACGAGGGGGAGGGGGGGGACGTCGTAGCGCCCTCCCTCTCTTCCTCGCGCTGGCAAACGGCGCCCTTGCCGGCGCGAGGGATGGGTGGGGATGGGGGCGGGGGGGCGCAACCCCCAGCCGGTCCCCCCTGCACCATGGGTGTGTTGGGCGGGGGGGTCGGGAGGTCGTGCCCCCCGCCTTCTCCCTTGTGGCCGGGGGGTGCCCTTTCCTCCTCCTCTACTCCTTGTCGTCCTCCTCGTCTTCCGTCTTCACGTCTTCCTCTTCATCACCTCCTCTCCGCAGGTACGTAGCCACATTTAGGGTCCAGCTTGTGCGCTTCAGGGCCTGTCACGTTCAATCGAACCGCTCTACCAATCTGCTTCCCCTGCTGCAACGAGCAGCAGCGCCTGACACCGCCAACGTTTACGACATTTTCATATCTACCAGCTAACACAATGGCATCTGCGACCTGGGTGCCCCAGGTCTCGGGGCGGAAAAGAGGGAGCAATACAGTGGAAACCCTTGCCAAGGAACACACTCTTCGCCTCCAGGGTGCCATGGGTTTCTTGGGTTTCCACGGCTATGCTGTGGAAGCGTGGCGTTCCCACCCTCAAAATCCATGGACGCCCTGGGGTCTCAGGGAGGAGGAGAAGGAGGAGGAGCAGGAGGAGGAGGAGGAGGAGGAGAGGGAGAAGGAGGAGGAGCAGGAGGAGGAAGAGAAGGAGGAGGAGGGGCACAACCGCCGTTAGCAGCAGCAGCAGGAGGAGGAGGAGGAGAAGGAGGAGGAGAAGGAGGAGGAGGAGGTGGAGGAGGAGGAGGAGGAGAAGGAGGAGGAGGAGAGGGAGGAGGAGGAGGAGGAGCAGGGGGAGGAGGAGGACAAGGAGGAGGAGGAGGAGGAGGAGGAGGAGCAGAAGAAACATAATAAGCAGAACAAGAAGAAGGGAAAGGAGGAGGAGGAGGAGGAGGGGGAGGAGGAGTAGGAGGAGGGGAAGGCGGAGGAGGAGGAGGGGGAGGAGGAGCAGAAGAAGAAGAAGGGGAAAGAGGAGGAGGAGGAGGAGGAGGAGGGTGGGCTGGCCTCCACTGTAGAGAAGGGGGAGGGGGGGTACGAAGCTTGCGGCACGCAGCCGTTGGTTCGGCCCCGCCGCCAGGCGCCTTCTTCTCGATGCTTGGGCGCCTCCCAACGCCCGGGAGGCGCCAGAGAAAGCAGCTGTTGGAGCTGGTTCAATCAGAGGCAGCATAGGGGCGAACAGCCCAGGGGAGAGCAGCACATGTGTTCCCAGACGTGCTCGCGTCGTCAAGAAAGAGCAGGACGGCGAGTGTTTCGCTATTTTCGGCCCTGGGGGCCCTTACCCGGCCTCGGGACCGTCCAAAAACGGCTCAGGATGAAAAACCGGCCTTGGGGAAAGGGCCTGGGCTTCCGGGGGCGCCGTCTCAAAAAAAAAGGACGTCGCATGTCTGGGTTCGGGTGCGCCGATGCTCTATGTCTTCGAGGAGGCTCCCGGGCGAATGCGTGTAATGCGGGCAAAACTAATATCCATATCCAGTGCGTCTTGAACTTTTTTGGAAGAAGCGCCTCAGGGCCGAGGCGCACTGGATATGGATGAACACCTAGCCTCTACGGTGGGCAAATTTGTCATATACAGTGTGCCTCGGGTTTCTGGGGAAGGGAGCCCGAAACTCCATACTGCAGTGGATATGGACAGAAGTATTGCCCGCATGTAACGCCCGCCCCACGGCTGTTCGCCCCCATCGTCGCCCCCGAGGTTCGCTACCCGCCCTTCGCCCGACTCCCCTGCCGTCCGCTTCGAAGGTCGAGTCTGCCTCAATGGCCTCTGCGGCGTGGGATGCGATCGGCATGGAGCTGACCATCTTTGCGGTGACCGCGCTCTGCGCAGTGGCCGTGCGAACGCTCACGGGCAAGCAGTGGGCGCCTCTCAAGGGCGACGGCAAGGCCCCCGCGAAGATGGCGCTCGCCGCCAAGGCCCCTCCAGCGACGCCCGGTGCTTGGGCTCGAAGAAGAAAGACTGGCGTACACATGAAATATCTGCTTTTCGAAAGCTCGTGCTGCAGGAGGAATATTCAAAAATAGTCGAACAAATTGTCAGGGGACGATGCTCCGAGTATTTTTTTGACTTTGTTTGGGCATTTTTGGAGTATGTTTAATTTTTCGTCGAAAATCCGCCTGTAGGGGAACATGGCCGACCGAATGCTTATGCTATGTTACTTGTTGTTCCAGTGCGGGCATCGGCACAGGCAGTGGTACGGGCATCGGCCTGGCGGGCCCACACGCAACATTGGTGCAGGCGTCTGTCCGAGAAACCCGCGCGGACATCCGACAGTTTGTGTTCACATGCCGATCGCGGAAGCAGGTAGTTTTGGATGCCCAAGTCCCGATATACTCAGAAGCGAAAGAAGGACGTACACGTACATGAATCCACGTTCGCGTTGGTTTCGAGAGTTTGCATTGCGCGAATGTTCGTATCACGCGGACGGTCACGCGGATCGAGGGTCCGTGTTCATGTACATGCTTTGGCGCGTACGTTCTTCCTGTGGGTTCCCTATATATTTCAATCGTCTTCTTATGTCGAGAACCGATCTGCTCTTGTTGTGTTTCGTTGCTCATCGGGGGTGCCTGAGCCCAATCTGCTTTGTCCGCCGTTCATTGCTTCATGGTTCTACCTGCTTCTTCCGACCGACTGCTGTGCCGTTTTCTGCTCCTTCCCAGGGGCTCAGGGTCCCGACCCCTTCCCCGGGGGCGGTTTGTCGTCCCAGATTCATGTTCGATGGTCCCCGGGCCTGATAACGGGCCCCAGAGGCCGAACGCCAGGAAAAAACGCCGCATTGACAATATCATGTCCTCGAATCCCTGGGTACACGTTTAGACGGTACTTCTTCCCGCCGGAGGTTATGCCGTTTTCTGCTCTTTGCAGGGGCTCCCAGGGGTGGTTTGTCGTTTCAGAGTTATGTTTGATAGTCCCCGGATCCGAGAACGGGCCCAGGAAGCCGAAATCCAGGAAAGCATGCCAGATTGCAAACATCACATCCTCGGATGTTTGGGTACACGTTTCGACAGTGTTTCTTCCCACCGCCGCGGCCGAGCCGTTCTCTGCTCCGTCCCAGGGGGCAGGGCGCCCTCTCGCGAGAGGCCAGCGAAAAACGTCGTCGTCGTCTTTAGCGTCGTCCTCTCCGTCGCTGTCCCGTCGTTGTCGTCGTTGCCAACGTCAACGTCAACGTCAACGTCGTCAACGTCGTCGCCAACGTCGTCGGTCAACGTCGTCGTCGTCGTCGCCGTTTTCTGCTCCTGCTCAGGGGCTCCTTGGCGCAGCGCGAAGGCCGCCGAGCGGCGCCGGCCCCTCCCGCCCGCAGGCGGGGCGACGGCGCCCGCGCGCGTTGCGCCACCCGCCGGCGGGCCGCAGCCTGGCCTCCGCGACGCCGACACGCCGGCCCTCATTATCGACGAGGCCTCGGGGGCCTCCTCCTGCTCCGCCTCCTCCTCCGCCTCCTCCTCATCCTTCCCCCCTTCCTCCTCCTCCTCCTCCTCCTCCTCCTCCTCCTCCTCCTCCTCCTCCTCCTGCTCCTCTTCCTCCTCCTTCTCCTGCCCCTATTTCTCCTCATCCTGCTCCTCCTCCGCCTCCTCTTCCGCCTCCTAATCCTTCTCCTCCTCCTCCTCTCCTCCTCCTCCTCCTCTCTCTCCTCCTGCCTGCTCCTCTTCCACCTCCTCCTCCTCCTCCTCCGCCTCCTCCTCATCCTCCTCATCCTCCTCCTCCTCCTCCTCCTGCTCCTCCTCCCCCCTCTTCTCCTCTCCTGCCTGCTCCTACTCCTCCGCCTCCTCCTCCGCCATCTCCTGCTCCTCCCTCTCGTCCTCCTCCTGCTCCTCCTCTTGATCCTCCTCCGCCTCCTCCTCCTCCTGCACCTCCTCCTCCTCCTCCTCCTCCTCCTCCTCTTCCTTCTCCTCCTCCTCCTCCTTCTCCTTCTCCTCCTCCTCCTCCTTCTCCCTCTCCTCCTCCTCTTCCTTCTCCTCCTCCTCCTTCTCCGCCTCTGCGACGCCGCCGCGCCGGCCCTCATTATCGACGAGGTCTCGAGGCAACGTGAGGGGTAACGATAGGGGGGACAGCTTGATGTACAGCTGGCACGGAGGGTAATCAGGGGCATAGGGGGGCTATTTCGAGCGTCCTCGTCGGTTACTTGAGGTTTGTTGGCGTCTTCGTCGGTTCCTCAATGTTTTCCAGCCTCGGGGTGCGTTCCAGCAGCTTCGCCTCGGCGCGAGCGTTCCGGGGTGCCCAGATCGTCCCGAACGGCCGCCAGAGGCCAGAGCAACGACCCGAGAACCACCAGGGGATGGGCATAGGGTGGGATGCATCGACCCCTCATCTCTCATGGATCGCCGATGGGGGTCTGAGAGCCCCACCCCGCCCAGGAAGCTGCGGTTTCGCGATCGGGGCCTGTCGCCGATCCATCCGCGATGCATCGCCGATTCCAGGTCGATGTATCCCCCCTGTATCAGGCCCCCCGTATCGTTGCCCCTCACGTTGCCCCCGAGACCGCGTCGATAATGAGGGCCGACGCGGCGGCGTCGCGGAGTCGGAGGAGGAGGAGGAGGAGGAGGAGGAGGAGGAGGTGGAGGTGGAGGAGGAGGAGGTGGAGGTGGAGGAGGAGGAGGAGGAGGAGGAGGACGAGGAGGAGGGGGGAGGTCGACTAGGCGTACCCAGAGGTCCAGCGCATTTGGAACAAATCAGGGCGGAAGCTTTTTGTTTCTGTTTACCTTGTCCGGCCTCGGGAGGCCCTCGCCGGGCCTTGGGGCCGTCGAGCAACGACTCAGGATGAATAATTGGTCCTGCGGAAGGGGAACAAGAAAATGGACCCCGCTCGTCTTATGATGCTCCAACCTAGTTTAGCCTTGATCACCAGAAAGAATTTCGAGCGCCAGAAAAGTACCGAAACTCAAGGGTTTTCACGTGTCTGGCCCTGGGAGACACCCGCCAAACACTGTTTCGACACTCTTTTGACACTCTCCCGGTTGCTCGAAATCATTTCTGGGATGCGGTCCTTTATTAGAATGGAAACAACGTAACACTCGTCGTCGGTACCATGTTCGTCCCCCCCTTCCCCCCGACTCCAGGCTGGGCTCCGGCGTGGTGGAGGCTCTGGGGGGTCCATTTTTTTCTGGTCCTTCCAAGCCTGCGCTCCTGAACGCCTGGGAGCCACTTTGAAAGTGCGGGGAGGGGGAGGGGGCAGACTCGGCGGGGTCGTGGGGCGGAGTCCAGGGGGGAGGGGGCGAGGAGGAGGAGGAGGGGGAGGAGGAGGAGAGGAGGAGAAGGAGGGGGAGGAGGAGGAGGAGGAGGAGGAGGAGGAGGAGGAGGGGAGGAGGAGGAGGAGTCAAGGGTTCCACCTGTCTGTCAATCTGCGGTGGAGAAGCCCCTCCGAGGTCTCACGGGGCCCAGACCCCCTCGAGTCATGAAACAAATACGACGGACGGTGTCGTCGCTATGTCTTGCTTCTGGGGGCCCTCCTCCCCCTCCCCCTCCCCCTCCTCCCTCCTCCCTCCCTCCTCCTCCCTCCTCCCTCCTCCCTCCTCCTTCCTCCCTCCTTCCTCCTTCCTCCTGCCTCCTGCCTCCTGCCTCCTGCCTCCTTCCTCCTTCCTCCGTCCTCCGTCCTCCGTCCTCCTCCCTCCTCCCTCCTCCCTCCTCCCTCCTCCCTACCCGGCCTCGGGACCGCCAACAAAAACGACTCTGGACGATGAATGACCGGTCCTGGGTCGAGACCTCGGGGGCACCGTATTGAAAACAGCACGACGTCGGATCTCTGGCGGGATTTTTACGATGTTGCATTTTTTTCGTTACGTCTGACCTCAGCCTAGAGCCACTCTGGCGTGTAGCCGAGGGGGTAGAGGGGGGGAAGAGACTCAGGGGGGTTCGAGGGTCGAGGTTTTCGGACGTCTTCGTCGGTTCTGGGTGGTTTTCCAGCCTCGGGCTGCCTTCCAGCGGCTGCGTCTCTCCGATCGTTCGAGAGGCGCCCGGATCCTCCCGAGCGTTCGCCAGACAGCCGAGTTATAAACCGAAAGCCATGGGGCAACGTCGCAAGGGGGAGATCAGCTTATGTTGCTCCCATGGTACTTAAGGACGCAATCCCAGAAATAGATTCGAGCACCAAGAAAAGTATCGAAACAGTGTCGAACGTGCATCGCCTCCCAGGGCCCGACGCGTGAAAACCTTCGATTTTCGGTATTTTCTTGGTGCTCGAATTTTTCTCTGGGGATCAAGGCTGAAGTAGGTTGGAACATAATGAGGATAGGCTCAGTGCAGGATAGGCCCAGGGCGGCGTGCATCGGCCCCCGATCCCCCGGTCAGCCAGTCCCCCCCGTCGTTCGAGTGTGGGATCGATTGCCTGACCCTCGTACCCCCAAACTGACTGCTCGTCGAGCTAGACGCAGAGAATGTTCTGCGCATGTCGCACGGACTCGACGAGCCAATGACTCTTGGGTAGACCAATTCTGTAGTCGATCCGCTATTGTGAAGGCCTGACGGCCGTGCAGCCGACCCTGAAAGACATTGACGACGACCAGGAGGGGGAGGAGGAGGAGGAGGAGGAGGAGGAGGAGGAGGAGGAGGAGGAGGAAGAAGAAGAAGTCGAAGACGAAGACGAAGACGAAGAAGACGAAGAAAAAGAAGAAGAAGAAGACGAAGAAGAAGAAGAAGAAGACGAAGACGAAGACGAAGAAGACGAAGAAGAAGAAGAAGACGAAGAAGAAGAATAAGAATAATAAGAAGAATAATAATAAGAATACTAATAATAAGAATAATAATAATAATAATAAGAATAATAAAAAAGAGTAATAAGAAGAATAAGAATACTAATAATAATAAGAAGAAGAATAATAATAATGAGAAGAAGAATAATAATAATAAGAAGAAGAAGAAGAGGAGGAGGAGGAGGAGGCGGAGATGAGGAGGCGGAGATGAGGAGGAGGAGGAGAAGGAGGAGGGAAAGGACTCCCCCCTGGGACCCCCCCGCTGGGGTAGTCGATCCGCCGTTCGTAGCGTTGCCCCTCAGAGGTCGTGGGCGGCGTCCGGGAGCAGCACGGCATGAAGTTCGCGGCGAGGGTGCTCGCGCTGTACGCCGACTTCCGGGCGTGCCTGTCTGCCCCGGGCGCGCCGACTGTGGAGCAGGTCGGGCGGTGTCGTCGTCGTCGTTGCCGTCGTCGTCGTCGTCGTCGTCGTCGCCGTCGTCGTCGTCGTCGCCGTCGTCGTCGTCGTCGTCGGCGTCGGCGTCGGCGTCGTCGTCGTCGTCGTCGCCTCATCCCTCCTCCCTCCTCCCTCCTCCTCCTCCCCCCTTCCTCAAGCAGTGGCGAAGCGTCCGGGCTCGCCTATAGGCCCACCAAAGAAGTTCTGAGAACCTTCCGTGGTCTGCAGCAGATGTTCTCAGAACACTTGTTTTACACATCGGGTTTATGTCCTCAGAGCATTCATTGTTTTTTCTCTTTGGACATGTTTCGACTCTGGGAATTTTTCGTGATAGGCCTGTAAGAATGCCAGGACGGTCCGTCTCTGCTCAAAAGTGGGGTCGCCGCCAGGGGGGTCCCTGGTTCCTCGGGAGGATGGAAGCTGGAGGAGGTTTTTGTTGGTCGTTTGGGGTCGTCCTGGAAGGCTCCATGGAGTGCTCTTGGGAGGCTCCATGGGGTGCTCTGGGGGATCCATTGCTTTGAGCGAGTGGCGCTCCGTCGTCGGGGGTTGCTACAGACGCACCTGGCCCAAGGTACCCCCAGCGTTTTACTCCGCGCTGCAACCCCAGGGGCCCTCCGGGCCTCGCGATGGGGTGCCCTGGAGGCCGTTGGGGCCTCCCTGGGGGAATCCTGGGGGCACCGTGGGCCAGGGGCACTTTTAGCAACACCCGATCGATCGAGGAGGGGGGAAGGAGAAGAAGACGGAGCAGGAGGAGGAGGAGGGGGAGGAGGAGGAAGAGGACGAGGACGAGGAGGAGGAGGAGGAGGAGGAGAGGTCGAAGGAGGAGGATGAGAACGAGGAGGAGGAGGAGGACGATGAGAATGAGGAGGTGGACGAGGACGAGGACGAGGAGACGTCGAGGCAGTGGTGAGCCCCCTGTTGGTGGGGTCCTCCCCTGACACTGCCCGAGCAGGCGGCGAGGCGCTCGAGGCACACGGCGGCGGAGTTCTACATGACCGTGGTGCAGTGCGCCGTGCGGACGAGCCGCTCTCACCTCGTCGACGGGACCTCGTGGGCGGCGATCCCGTTGACGGGCATGCTTTCCATCACCATCACCATGAGCTGGAGGGGGCCAGGAGGTGGAGGAGGAGGAGGAGGAGGAGGAGGAGGAGGAGGAGGAGGGAGGAGGAGGAAGAGGGAAGGAGGAGGAGGAGAAGAAGGAGAGAAAGCGAGGAGGAGAGGAGGGAAAATAGGAGGAGGAGGGGGAGGAGAAGGGGGAGGATGAGGAGGAGGAGGAGGAGGAGGAGGAGGAGAAGGAGGATCCCGCCCCGCCTCCTGCTTGCGGTGGTGGTGGTGGCGGAGAGCAAGCCCACCACACGCGGCCCACGCCCATGCCCCCGCGGTCCCAGGGCACCGAGGCGCGAGATCCCATGGGCGCTCGATGCCAAGAGGGCGCCCCCGGGGCGGGGCAGCCACGCAGAGCCGCCCTGCCTCGCAGGGAGGAGCAGCGACACCACCACCACCAGGAGGGGGGGGCATCTCCTCCTCCTCCTCCTCCTGCTCCTCCTCCTCCTCCTCCTCCTCCTCCTCCTTCTCCTCCTCCCTCCTCCTCCTCCTTCCTCCTCCTCCTCCTCCCCCTCCTCCTCCCCTCCTCCTCCCTCTCTCCTCCTCTCCTCCTCCTCCTCCTCCTCCTTCCCTCCTCGCCTCCTCCTCCTCCTCCTCCTCCTCCTCCTCCTCTTCCGCCCTCCGGCTCCTCCTCCTCCGGCTCCTCCTCCTCCCTCTCCTCCTCCTCCTCCTCCTCCTCCTCCTCCTCCACCTCCTCCTCCTCCTCCTCCTCTTCCCTCCTCCTCCTCCTCCTCCGGCCTCCTCCTTCCCCTCCTTCTCTTCCTCCAGCGAGGGGGTCCCCGATGCCCTTCCAGGCCTCCTTGGCGACGGCTCGTCCAGCCGCTGTTTTCGGGACATGGTAAGTGGGCACGAGCGAGGCGTCCAGAGTGATCTCCCCAGTGGCCCTGGCTCCCTCATGCTCAGCCTCATTTTCGTCATCATCCTACATGTTGCCTCAACCTTCTCATTCTCGCCATCTGCCTCGACCTTCTCATTTTTCTCAACCTCCTCATTCTGGCTCAGGTGCCTCAACCTCCTCATTTTCGACCTCATCCTGCCAGCAAGCTGGCTGGGGATCGGAGATGTCTCGAGCGAGACACTGGGACCACCACAGGGAGGATTCTCAGTAGCTTCTCTCGGGGGTGGTGGTGTCGCTCTTCATGTTCCCACTCCGCATCCATCGGGGTTGCGGCCGAGGAGTCCGGATCGCGAGGGCGTGGACGTGCAAGCGTCGCCCGCCCGCCAGGATCATCCAGGACATGGTTCGGTTCAAGGTCGAGCGGAGCCTTCGCTTCTACGAGGTCACCATGAAACAGCTGGCGGCCCAGAAGCAGTACCGGCTGGCGCTCGCCACGTACGACCGTCTCAGGGAGGACTCGACTACATGCAAGAGTGACCCTTCGCCTGAGTGACCTTGAGTGCGGGTTCACTGGGGTCCTCCGATCGCCGAGCGCTGTGCAGTGGTGGCGTCTTGCGCGCTCGCGTTTGGTCCCCCAGCGACCCCTAAAAAGCCGCGCATCAAAGGTCACTCTTGCGTGTAGCCGCTGTAGCCGAAGGACGGCCTTGAGCCCTCGGTGGTGACGTGCAGCTGCCTGATCGGCTTCGCCGCCGAGGTCGGCGAGCTGGGTCGCGCCGTGGAGTTCTTCGGGGTCCTGTCGTCGATGACTACGCCGTCCATCCGGGCCTACATGACGGTGCTGCGCGTGCACGCCAAGCGCCAGGATCCGAGGACAAAAACACAGTGTCTTTCTGCTGCTGCAACTGCTGCTTCTACCACGACTACCACTATTACTACTACTACGACTACTACTACTACTACTATTATTATTATTATTATTAGTATTACTATTACCACCACCACCACCACCACCACCACCACTACTACTACTACTACTGCTACTACTACTAATACTACTACTTGTGTTACTACTACTATTATTACGACTACTACTATTACTGCTGCTACTACTACTACTATTTTCCACTACTGCTACTACTACAACAACTACGACTATTTCTACTACTACTACTACTACTACTACTACTACTACTACTACTACTGCTACTAATATACGACGACTACCATTATTACTACCACGAGGACTATCACTACAACTACTACTACTACGACTACTACTACTACTACTACTAGTACGACTACTCCGATTTCTACGACTACTATTACGACTTTTGCTATACATATTACCAATAGTACTAGTAGTAGTAGTAGTCGTAGTA